CCATGGTGCTGGAATGAATCTCCATACTACCTTCTACAGCCAGACGCCCGGCGCGTTCTCGAGCAGGAAAGCACGTAATACGACACCGGGCGTCTGGCTGTAGAAGGTAGTATGGAGATTCGCCGATAGTCAAGTAGTCTATCAGTTTTTGACTCCTGGAACATAAACGACTGCAACAATGTACCGTAAATCTATACAGATGCTCTTCGACTGCTTGTCGAAGTCTTTTTTTTGCCCCAGTCGGTAGGTCTCTAGACGTTACAGAGAACCCCGAACAATCCAAACTGTTAATCTTCAATACCCTTTTGTACTTACGATCTTGTATCCACTGACTGTCCTGTTAGATTAACCCAATAAATTTCATTCACTCCGCATACTCAATCCTATAGACACCCTTTTAATCCTTCAATCACAGACGTAACTCGATTTTACAAAACAGTCAAGAGTATTCAAACCCACTTCATTTAAAAATCCCGATTCACCATTATAACACTGACTTCAACAGCGATTGCCTCAATCTTCTCAAAACTCTACGGAGAAGAAAAATCCAAATTCTATATCTTTCCTTCTCTGACCCGAAGCATGAAGCTCCTCTCTCTAATTTCCTTGATCTTCAAAACCCTCCAATGAAACCGAACTGGTAACCTTGCAAAAGCTTGAAAACTAGCTCCCCCCCGATTCCCCCGAAAAAAAAAAAAAAAAAAAAAAAAAAAAAAAAAAAAAAAAAAAAAAAAAAAAACCCTCCCTCTCTAAAACTATATTCTCCCCTAACCTTATCCTCTGAATTTCTTCAATCTTCCATCTTAAATCCGGAATTGGCTCTCGCTGTCAAAGCTTAAATCCAAAATTGGCTCACGTCATCAAGGCCTTCTCCTTCGTTTTTACCTTTAAAAAATCCATTTACCGTAAACAACGTTCCTTAAAATGGCACAAAAAACAGGACAGCCCAAAACAAAATCGAAACCCCGTAATCGGGACCACATTGAGTCGCCCGACCAATTCAGGTCCCATATTGGGTAAGATGCCCGTAGTAACCTGGATGCTCACGTAATTGGGTCAAATTGGTCTTCGCATCAAACTGGCTGAGGCCCGTAGTATGACCTGGATTTTCCCGTAACTAGACTGCATTGGGTTGCCCCACCAATACAGGTCTCATATTGGGTAAGAGGACCCGGATTGGATTCTCGAAATTGGATCCAATTGGCTCTTCAAACCCGTCGTGTGAATTGGTCCTTCTCATCCTGCTAACTCTTATTATTAGAATCGAATGGAGCATTTCAGTATGCCCCGGCTGATTGTAACGGGGTGACAGAACCTGACCACTCAGTATTTGCGCTGGAGTTGGTCGATGCTCCCAATATTCGAGGTAACTGAATATTAATAAAATTCCCCTTTCTTTTTATTTTCACTGTATACTCGTGTTACAACACGACACCACTTGGCGTGAATCGAACCATAAAACCATGGCCGACTCTGAGCAGCCTGCGTGGGTGAGGCGCGTGACGTTAGCGTGTGGTAGGTAACATAGAGATATGAGGATACTTTCCTCAAATGATCGACACTGATTCGAGCTGTGCGTTCATGCTCCAAGGAGCCAAGCCTGAAATTTGATCCGTAGGAGAATTGCGTGGATGAGTGGTGGATGTGAGGCGATGAGGTAGGGGAGCAGAGTCGGTGACAATGAACTCATAGGCTTGTTTCTCAAACATTCACAATGGCCGCCTAAAGCTTTTGTCCCGCTAGGCTGGAGAGCTAATGCAACTTTCAAACCTTCCCTGGATATCTGAGACTTTGTGAGGGTGGTAGAGTGGTAGAGTGAGAGGGCCATGTTTAACAATGATTAGAAAATGCCCGCGCTTCTAAGAAAAAATCCGCTGAGGTGAAATGAACATAATGGTTGAATTTCTTTGGATGAACCTTGTACGGGGGTGTGATCAGAGAGCGTGGAGAGTCAAGGGGAGGGAGTGAGGTGTTGCAAGGAACTAATGATGACAAAAGTAGAGTGAAGCTTTTGAGCCTGTGATCATTCCATTATTACACACACTGAGGTTTTCAAGGGGTGAGTGGATGAGGTGGAGGAATATCGGATGCGTGGTCAAGCTAATCAGGCATGCTTATTTATTTATTTTTTTGTTTGGGTTTATTCGTCAATGGCAGAATAGAAGCAGGCGGACCGCGAAAAATCCAGACTCACGATGTAGAGCCCTGTGCAGTGAGTAGGTGCGTAAGTGCACGGTGAATGGATGAAACAAAACACCGGAAGGGTGTACCTCTCAGAGTATTGAAGAAAAAGAAGTCTAAAGGCTACAAACACTTAGCATCAACAAGTATTGTACTCTAATAGAAGTGTGGAGGAAGATGATTCTTACTTCCAACACTCTTTACTTGTAGGTGGTGGTTTGCTTATCAACGAGACAACTTCCATCCATTTGATATTACATCTATTTCTACCTCTTCTTAATAAAGCCTCGATACTACCATAATAACTTACTTTATCTCTTTGCTGCCTTTTTACTATTAGCAACATACTATGCTTAAAGTTTATGTGGTTGTAACAAAGAAAGTACTTGCTGTTCTTCAACACTCCCACTTTGCTAATATTCAAAAGGATTTTAATTCTAATCTCTGAATCAAGTCATGATGTCTATCCTTTACTAATGCCTTTGTAAGCACATCAGCAAGCATGTCATTTGTAGCACAATACTTCATATCTATTATTCCATCTTCAATCTTCTCTCATATGAAATAATGTTGAACATCAATGTGCTTGGTCCTTGAATGATGCTTTAGATTCTTTGCAAATGCAAGACATCCTTGATTGTCACACATAATGGAAGTTGCTTCTAGTTGCACTAGACCAATGTCTTCTAAGAATTGCCTTATTCAACAAGCTTCCATTGCACAATGACTTGCTGCCATGTACTTTGCCTCCATTGTTGATCTTGCAATAGTATGTTGTCTTTTACAATTCCATGAAATGGCTCCCACTCCAATGAAGAATATATATCCTATTGTGGATCTTCCATCATTTACATCTCCAGTTCAATCCACATCACAATAACCTTACAAGTCAATGTTCTAACCACCAAAGTATAATTTGAAGTCTTTTGTACATTTAAAGTACCTCGTAATCCTCTTTATTATTTTCCAATGCATTGGTCCAGCCTTAGACATGTGTTGGCTTATAACACTCACTGCATATGCAAGATCCACTCTTGTAGCCACCATTGCATACATGAGTGAGCCTACTACTGCTTTGTATGGAATACTTTGCATCTCATCTTCAACTTGTGCAAACTCCTCATCCGTGAGCTTCATCAACTTCAAATTTGCCTCCAAGAATGTTCCAATGGACTTGCACTCCTCCATATTGAATAGTTTCAACACTTCTTCAATATACTTTATTTGGCTCATTGTAATCGTCTTGTTACCATGATCTTTTATAAATTCCACTCTTAAGCAATAGTGCAATTCTCCCAAATCACTCATCTCATATTCCTTCTCTAATTTGGCCTTCATCCAATCCATCTTTTCCATATTATTAGCCAAGATGATCAAATCATCAACATAGAGGATTACAATCAGCAAGAACTCTCTAGATTGCATCACATACAATGAATGATCAGCTTCACTCCTTACAAATCCTTCATTGATAAAGAAGGTGTCGATTCGTTGGTACCATGCCCTTGATGATTGTTTCAACCCATACAAAGATTTCTTCAATTTGCAAACAAGATGTTCTTTGCCTTGTTGTACAAATCCTTGATGTTGGTCCATATAGATGTCTTCTTACAATTCTCCATTCAAAAAGGCCGTCTTCACATCCATTTGGTGTATTTCCAAATCTATTGCTGCCTCAATTGCTACAATGGTCCTTATGGTGGTGAATTTGGCAACGGGTGCATAAGTCTCATTGAAATCAATTCCAACAACTTGTGAGTATCCTTTGACAACTCATCTTGCCTTGTGCCTCACCACCACATCTATTGCATCTCTTTTAGTCCTAAATATCCATTTACAACCAACACTAGATCGATTTAGTGGAAGAGGTGCCAATTTCCATGTACCATTGTCCATAAGAGATTGGTATTCTTCTTCCATAGCCTTCTCCCACTTGATTGCATCTTCACACTTCATAGTATCACAAAAAGATAATAGATCAGCAAGAAGAGCAATATTTGTATTTTCTTCACTTACTTGAGGGAAGATGTGATCCTTCCACTATTCGCCACGTTGCCTTCTTTCTCTCAAAGGATATCTCCTTTCATTGATTGAAGAACATTCACCTTGTTCTTTTTCAACTCTTAAATCTTGTCGTTTCTCACTCAATGGTTGGAAGTCTTCATCATTGTCATCATCCCAATCTTCAACATCTTCATTTCTTTCATTGCTGGTCCTATCAATTATAAGAGCTTTCATCTTTTCAAACTTCTTTGGCTTTTCATCTTCATCATCTTCATTGTCTTCATCTTCTTGTTTCTTTGCTGAATTCAAAGATGTGTCCACAAACACACCATTACTTCCACTTGGACACATCTCTAAGTGCTCACAAGCACTCTTGTGCTCTAAGAACACAACATCATGACTTTTGATGATCTTCTTGGTTTCCAAGCACATTAGCCTATATGCCTTAGTACCTTCACAATAACCAAGAAATACACACTCTGTACCTTCTGCATCAAGTTTGGACCTCATACAATTAAGTGTTTTTGTATATGCAATGCAACCAAAGGTCCTCATATGGGAAATGCAAGGTTGTCTACCACTCCATGCTTCTTGTGGTGTCATTGATGCAAGAGCACTTGTTAGATATCTATTTCTTATATATACTGCATTCACCACAGCTTCCATCCAAAATTCATAGCCAAGGTTTTGAGCATGTAACATACTCCTTGCCATCTCTACAATGGTTTGATTTGCCCTTTCAGCAACACCATTTTGTTGTGGAGTGTACAGAGTTGTAGTTTATCTAACAATTCCTTCATTCTTCAAATAAACATCAAATTGCTTAGATATGTACTCACCTCCATTGTCCGTACGTAGCACCTTGATCTTGCATTCACTTTATTTTTCAACAAGTGCTTTAAAATCCTTAAATCTCCAAAAGCATTCATTCTTGGCTTTAAGAATATAGATCCAAATCTTTTTTGAATAATCATCAATGAAAGTGAGGAAATACCTTGATCCTCCAATACTTGTATTTTTCATAGGTCCACATACATTTGAATGGACAATCTCCAGTAACTTGGTAGTACGTGTTGCTACACTCCTTGGAAATGAGGCCCTTTGTTGTTTGCCTTGTATGCATCCTTCACATGCAAGTTGTTTTACATTTTGGCTTGTATTTCTAAGATCTAAGCCACTTACCATGGTCTTGAGCTCTTTCATGCTCTTCACATTCAAATGGCCAAGGCGACGATGTCATATATTCAACTTGTCTTCGTTTGATGTAAACTCAATAAATACAACTACCTCCACTCCATTCACCTTCTTACAAATGAGTTAGTATAAATTTCCGTCTTTCAAGCCTTTGAAGACCTTGTCTCCACTCAATGATCTAACAAAACATCCATTCATGTCAAATTGAACTTTAAAACCTTCCATTACAAGTTTACTCACTGAAAGAAGGTTTTGCTTCATCTTAGGCATATGAAGGACATTTTTGAGTCTGATCTGATTGGTTTGTCCATTCACAACCACCTCCACCATAATAGAGCCAATTCCAATGGCTTCACATGTACCACTATCTGCCAACACCACGTTTAATGCTGGAATAGCTTCATAAGTATCAAATGAACACTTATAAGGTGTCATATGCTTGGAACAACTTGAATCCACAATCCATCTTGACATGATAGCCATAGAGGTCCCATTTGGTGCCATGAATGCATAATCTTGTCCTCCAAACTCATCTTAGACACTATTTACATTCTCCTTCTTCATCTTTTTGCCTTTGTAGCAATTTCAAGCAAAATGGCCTATTTTGCCACAAATGAAGCAAGATTTGACATTACCTCATTGATTTGGATAGTTGTCCTTGCCTTGACGTGAATACAATATTGAAACTTCACTTTGGGGCTCCTTTTCTTTCTTCTTGGTTACTTCATGGGTAAGTCTTGCTGTCACATAGTCCATTGTAAGTTCTTTTACCTTGATGGAATCCAATGCCACAATAAGGTAGTTCTAGGATTCGGGAAGGCTCATTAGCAAGGTCATGACAATATCACTTTCTTCTAAAGGCTTGTCAACAGTTGCTAGTTGATTTGCAAGAGCCTTTATCTTATTGACATGAGCCATGAGGTCTTCACCTTCTTCCATCTGGCAAGTAAAGAACATCCTCCTTGTATAAATGATATTGGATAAGTTCTTGCTCTCATAGATGTTGCAAAGAGTCTTCCATGCTTCCGCTGGTCCTTTGCAAGAGATAATGTGAGAGAAGTTGGCTTCATCCACATTTGTTGCAATCAACCCAAAAGCCTTCTTTTCACGACGTTTGAACTCCTTCTTCTTCTTCATATCAGCATCTTTGCTTGGAGCCTCTTCACTTTCATCTATAATATCCCAAAGATCCAAAGATGCCAACAAAAGCTCTAATTTGACCTTCCAATGGTAGAAATTTTTACCTCTAAACTTCTCAATAACTCTCAAGCCTTCACCCTCACTTGAAGCCATGTCTAAGGTAGAGTTGTATCAATAAAGGTTATAAGAGGAAGTCCTAATGTTCTTAAAATCAGCAAGAAGGTTTAGGTGCCTTAGAATCACAGAATCCTTCTTTGTGAACAAACTAGTATTTTTACTCTCAAAAATACTCTCAACTTCACTTCTAAGGATTCTTACAAGTCTGGTGACCTTTCCAAATCTAAATTGACACTCTAATACCTCTCTTATATTCACAAGTCACTTCTATATACCAAAA